AATGGGAAGTTACAAGTATACACACAGGCCAAAACAACGGATGGAGTTCACTCCAGGAAGGTGGTAATGCAGCGCCAGTGTGAGACAGATGTTGTACACCCCCCCATCTCTTTCTGTCCTCTCTCCGTCTTCCAGAGATGGCTGGATGGGAGTGGGTGCCTGGTGAGTGACGAGACACTGAAGACATTTCACAGGCTTTCTGATCAAGTCACGTGAGGAGAGCCTGGCTCATCTTGACTGTCTAGCATCTAGTTCATCAGAGCAGACTTTTAGACGAAAATTTATATTCAAAGAAATGTGCCCAGGCGGGCTGGGAGGATGGCCCGCCCAGTCAGTAGTGCGCCCAGTGCAAGCATCAGGACCAGAAGCCGTGTGAAGGGCCTGCCCTGGTGGAGCCACGCCGATCCCTGGGGCTGGCTGACCCATCTGCCTCACCCACTCGTGAGCTCCAGGCAAATGAGAGAACCTGCCTTAACCAACAAGGTAGACAGCTCCTGAAAAATGACAATCAAGGCTGACCTCTGGCTACCATGTGCACATGCATATGCCTGTACCAACACACCCAAACACACATGTACGCACGTGAAACATACCAAGGAGAAACCAGGACATAAAGAAGGAAAACATCAAGACATAAACACCGACCAGGGGGATAGTTTGATGTAAGGATCAGCCTGAGCCCTCAGATGCTCTGGAAGTTTCCTTATGCTGTGGAATATGTCCAGGTAGGGGTAAGAAGCCACCAGTGTTGACAATGGCCCAGTCCTAAGTCTCCCACCGACTACAGCCATGCCAGTGGGAACTACAGCTATCGGATGGGGATGGAGGGAAATTGTCTCTAATCTCTCATGGACCCTGGGAGGGAGGAGAGCTGTGGTGCCCGCTGCTAGAGGTCAAATACAAGCAGAAGCTGTGACTAGTGCCCAGAGCCAGCAAAGGGGCCCAGAGGACTGGGTGGAGCACAATGTCATCAGCTGCAGGTCCCCACCAGTTCAAGGCTCCTGCACTTGAAATTCCTGACTCCTCTGCAGGAAACAATTAGGGTGATACCCCTCTCCCCTTGGTTCTGTGATAGCCAGCCCCCTCTGTAGCTCCCCTTACCATCTTTAATAGATGCAGCTACAGCGACATGTACATTCTCAAGTAATTATCCAGGACAGCTCTGTCTCTTTCTTGAGAACGTGTCCAATAATTAATATACTCTGCCTTCCTCATTAGGTCATAGAGCTGTGCGTAGGTCAATATCTGTTAATAATGAGCGATGGATTGCCTTCCATGTTATGAGCCCTGTGTGGAACAGTGAGAACACACATTTTGCTGACTCTTGGAAAGGTTCTAAACCACTGGCTACTCTTAGCTGCCTGTTAATTCTCCCTCCTAGATTTATTTAATATGGCTAACGAATAATTCACAGTGACGATGGTTCCCAAGACTCACAGCCTGTGGCTGTCAGCAAATGTGGTCATGAAGCAGGGATTCTGTCACCCTTGAAAAACACTTATCCAGTTGACCAGTACTGAGGGAGGTCACTGTGCCTGGGGACCTGCTGCAAGCTGGAGATGTAATCCTTTTGAATCTATTATCCTGTGAAAAGGCGCACAGCCTGTGGGAGGCAGCAATGCATGCTGGGATTGGAAAACTTCCCTTTCTAGTCCAGTCTTGGCACTGAACTTTAGTTACTCTTAAATCCCAGACTCTCTCTTTTCTGGAGCCCGGCTGCCTGGCTGCTTGGCTTCCTTCCTCTCTGATTTCTTTACAGCTTGCTCCTCATTCAGCAGTGATTTTTCTGAGTGCCTGTGAGGGGTCAAGCATTGGGGTCAGAGGTATGGGAGGGAACAAAGACCATCCCCATGTCTTGAAACTTCCAACTTCTGTTCTGGACAGAGACTGAATCGGGTGTACACACACACACACACACATACACACACACACACACACACACACACACACACACACACACACACACACACACACACAGTGTTTGCAAGCCTTGCAAAGTGCTGTGGAGGAAACAGAGGCAGAGACGGCATCCGTGAAAGATCTGATCCTTAAGAGGTACCATTTGAGAAGGATCTACTTCCCTGAGAATCTGGAAATAGAATTTTGGGGTGGAGGGAGGAGTGTGTGTAGTGCCCCAAGCCCAGAGTGCTGTAGAAAAAGCCGCCCAGGGTAATCAGACGACAAAGCGCAAAGCGGCCACAGCAAGGTGATCAAGTTTGGAGAATTCGAGGATTTTAAATAAGAAGGACTTGATTTTTTTTTTAAGTGGCAGATGAGCTGGCGGTGGTGGCGCATGCCTTTAATCCCAGCACTCGGGAGGCAGAGCCAGGCTGATCTCTGTGAGTTCGTGGCCAGCCTGGGCTACCAAGTGAGTTCCAGGAAAGGCGCAAAGCTACACAGAGAAACCCTGTCTCAAAAAACCAAAAAAAAAAAAAAAGTGACAAATGTTTCACTGTTGGTCATGTTGTAGTGGGGACCAGGAGTCAGGAAATGCTGGCAGCCAAGGCTGGGTGCCTCGGCCATGTAGAGTGGGCAGTACGTGTACATACAGAGGCACATGGTGAGCCACTGTGTCATCCAGCTTTCCTTTTTCTTTTATTTTTTTTCGAAACAGGGTTTCTCTATATAGCTTTGGAGCCTGTTCTGGAACTCACTTTGTAGCCCAGGCTGGCCTCAAACTCACAGAGATCTACCTGCCTCTACCTCCCGAGAGCTGAGATTAAAGGTATGCCCCACCACCGCCCAGCTTCATCCAGCTTTTCTTGACCTCAGTTTCCTGCCTGAATGGTATCTAGGTACCCACTGTATTGTGTTCTTCTGATGACCAAATATTGGTATTTATTCCCATGAAGAATGAATGTGTGATGCTTTTGTGCAAAAATAATAAGTACATGGTACTATTTCCTGTCATCGCTGGTTGGAGAAGGGGGAAATCAAGGACGGCACTGGAGATGGGGACTAAATAGTGTGGCTTGTCATCTGTGTGCACGGTAACACCCTAGACTGCTTCTACGGTGTGCAAGCTCTCCAGTGAGCTACACTGCTCTGGATGCCGCCTCTGTCTTTGTTTCCACCCTAGCACTTTCCATGGCTTATGGATTCGGTCTCTCTCTAGAATCGAAGTTTCCAGAAGTAGGGTTTGCCTTTGTTCATTACTGTACCTCTACCTGCAGTCTGTACACAGGGCACCCGATAATCTAACAGTCTTTATATTTTTGGTACCATCATCATCATCATCATCATTTTACAAATGAACAAAGCAAAAATGACTACATTTGGAAAAAAGGGACATGGTTTTCTCTGTGGTTGTTGTGTTTGGTCCCTGTTAAATCCAAGTGTGTTGGTGTCTAACATGATATGTAAGCAAGAATAAAAAGGAGGACGAAACTGGCTGCTGTTGGAAGATGATAAAAACTGAGGAAAAGGTTAGCGTTGTGGATATGCAGCTCAGTGGCAGAGTACTTGTCCAGCATGCTCGAGGCTCTGAAGCCCATCCCCACCACTTCATGCTCCCCCCTACCAAAAAAATGCAGAAAGGAAAAGTGGGCTCTAAAGAGGAAAAACTTGATCTACGAGCAGAAAGGACAATGACCAGTGCAAGAGACAGGGGGCTCAGGTGCTGGGCATAGAAAAAGAGTAACTCAGATGTCACTACAAAGCAAGACAGCCGGACATGGCAACTCGCGCCTCTAAGCCCAGCACCGTGGAGACTGAAATAGAAAGGCTGTGAGCTGAGTGACAGTCTGGGCTACAGACTGAGACTGTTTCACACATGATCTGCTCCCCAAAGTTCATGAACATAGAGACCCACTCCACCGACCCACATAGGCCACTTAGAATGAAAGACGTCTCGTGGTTACACTGCTTTGAACCATGCCTCCATTTCTAAATAATTGCATGAGCTTGAAGGATACCACCGAGTTCACTAAATCTCCTTATCACCAACATCCTACCTCCCGGGACTGTTAGACGAATCAATCCAGTGGGCATATGGGAAAGAAATCAAAACTTTTCGAGTTTCAAGTGTGTCATTACCCTGGGCAGTTAGGACCTGTTTGGACCCTGGTCATGGTGTTCTTGTTTAAATGGACTTTGCATTGTGAGTGAGTTTTGGCCCCAGGACCTTCTTGGGAGTCTCGTTCTCCAGTTTAGACCACAGAGTGCAGGTCATTTGACACATTCCATATGTGTTGTGTCCACTGCGGTGTTGTCCTTCAAATGGGTCCCCTCCTCAGGAGGGCTGTTCCTGTATTTTGTTTGTTATATCTTAATATGCATGCAAGACTGGCTTAAAGGTCAGAACAGATGACATCACCTCTCATCCTTGGGATTGCCACACCTCCTTTGTTGCAGTCCTGGGTGTGGATGCTGTGGGATGTTCTGTATGCTGTGAATGTGTTGCTCAGATTGGTTGATAAATAAAATGCTGATTGGCCAGTAGCTAGGTAGGAAGTATAGATGGGATAAACAGACAAGGAGAATTCTGGGAAGTAGAAGGCTGAGTCAGAAAATTCCAGCCAGCCATCCAGGGAGCGGCATGTAATGTCACACAGATAAAGCCACAGAACATATGACAACATATAGATTAACAGAAATGGGCTGAGTTTAAGTGTAAGAGCTAGTCAGTGGTAGGCTTGAGCTAATGGCCAAGCAGTTTGAATTAATATAAGTCTCTGTGTGTTTACTTGGGTCTGAGTGGCTGAGGGACTGTGAGAACAAGGGGGCCGGGTGGGTACAGGAAAACTTTCAGCTACATGTGTTCATGTGTAGAAGGTAACAAACAGTCTTCTGTCCTCCTAGCTGACATGGGACACAGATCGAGGGACCTGAGAAAATGCACACGATTATTCTCCCACTCTTCATTCTCATGTCATTGTTCTCTGTGAGAGAGGACACCATGTTGTTAGTGGGTATCCAAAGTGCATACACTGGAAGACAGAACCAAGCCTCCTCCATGCCTCGTTCATCCTCATCTGCTTTTCTCTCTGCTCTGTCCTTAGGCAAGTGTGAAATCGGCTGGGCCTACTACTGCACCGGGGCCGGGGCGGCAGCTGCCATGCTGCTGTGCACGTGGCTGGCTTGCTTCTCGGGGAAGAAGCAGAAGCACTACCCCTACTGAGACCAGGCCACCGGGAGAAGCAGAGGAGAGGATGGACCACGGGGACCGAAGGGGCCAAAGCATCAGCTACGTTCACAAGGTGGAATAGTGGTTCGAACCCAGTACAATGCTAATGTAATGAAATCCGATTGAATCTGGAACATTCTGTAGGAAGGGAGGGTGGTGGGGGAGTTGTCGAAAGCATGGAGAATATGGGACGATGGAGGACAATGGACCAAAGGCTAACAACACTGCAGGACATTGGATGTTTCTATTCCACAGAGTATCGTTAATGTATATCATACACACACACAGCAAACTATATATGCAAATGAGGATCTCATTTTGTTCTCCTTCAAAAAGATGAGGACTAGGGGAGTCAAAAGGGCTAGTAGAAACAGTCTTATCTTAGGAAGCAGGAGATGTACCCTGCAGACATTCCCTGTAGATGAGGACTGAGCCTGAAAGCACATACGCACGTGCACACATGTCATACACATGCGCACACATCATATGCACACACATATCACACCACTGCACAGGCGGTCAGCTGTGTACTATTGCTCCTGATTTTTTTAAATATACATCAGTACAGTATCATCACATTATAAAACCATACATTAAGCCTAGTCCATGGACCAGTAAACCACTCTATCAGTATTTTTGATATCCTGCATAAATGCTTTATGCCCACAGTGTGTCTTCACTGTTTATGCAGATCTTTAGGGGGAAGCCTTTGTATTTCAGTGTTATTCAAAGACACACAGTAGTGATCTGAGTAGTTTCTGCTGTAATATCCTTGTGAAGAAATTGGACAGCTTTTGTCCACCATAGGCGAGAATTCAGTTGCAGATATGAGAGTGAAGGGAAGTCTTTCTCCAATTATTGGATCTTGTTTTCTTTTATTCATTATTCTACTGTGCTATACCACAATTATTTCAATATTCATTTTGTAAAGGGAAAAAAGTACTATTTTGTTTGTATTTGAAAAGTTCTGTGAATAAATTCTCTTTGATCAATAGCTCACTGAGTCATGGTGCATTAATTCACTTATCAGATTTCTTAAATAAAGCCTGTCTACCATGGTGGGCAGCCCCGTTAATCTGATTGCTTTTGTCTAAGGTCTTATGGGCACAGAGTACATGAAAGGTAAATGTCTACTTTTAGCTTAGATTCTTGGAAACCTTTAGCTCATTTTCAGTTCAATCATGACAGATTCTTAGGAGTGTTCCCAGACTGTTATGTATGTTATGGGAAGAGAGACAGTGTTCCAACATGACCGAGGACCACAAGATGGACCATCGCAAGTGTGTGTCACGTGCTGCCTTCCCACTGTCCACGGGGTGCTATGTGTCTTCTGGACTCCTGTGCCAGCACAGGTCACTCTACCCTCACCTGATGTCATCGGCCACTTGAGCAGCATCTGTCCCCTGCAGTGGCCCCCAGCAGTAAGCCTTGACTCAAGAGAAAGGTTTAGCTCTATCAATGTCTCCCTAACAGAAGCAGCTCTTCAGGGGCAAAAGTTGCATGCCAGATAATGGATGCATTCTAAATTAAGGGTTAGTTATTGTGGCCTAGCCTTAACAAGCCGCCCTCACCATGGGGATGCTGATCTTCCATTTAGCTGACCCCCATGCTGGCTTAACTCAAACAGCATACTTTTCTGCTTCCCTCCTCCAGGCGGCTGCCGAGATTTACAGCTTGCCTGCCCCAGGGTTTTTCTCTTACACTTTAATAAAATGTTCCTCTCTGAATAAACTTTAGCTTGGCTTGATTTTCAGGGGGGAAAATCCATTCAGTTTTAAAATTACATACACATCACATTTAGAAATTGAACGTTCTTACTCTGTGTGCATGGAACTATTTTCTGTAGCCCACACACATTTATCAACTTAACCTAAATAGCGTTATGCATGTCAAAGTCCGCATCGGCTCCCTGGCCCTTCCCCCCACCCCAGCTACTCACCCTCCTTATAAACCATGTGGCCTTTTCACAGCCCACTTCGCTACTCCTGGCCATGCCCAGTTTGTTTCTTGTTCTCTCTGCTCCAGACTCTTCAAGATGCCTCTGGATATCTTCTGTCTTACCCACAATAAAAACCTTCCCCTTAATGGAGCTTCCATCTTGGCAGTTTCTTTATTGTGCTCCTGTGAGACTGCCCAGAAGGTAAAGCAGTGACCACACAAGCCTGGCGATTTGATCCCAAGAAGCCACGAGAGAGAATCAGCTCCTAAAAGTTGTCCTTGGCTTCTACATGAATGCTATGGCACACGCATGCCTGCACTCACATGCATAATAATAACAATATAATATTAGTAAACAAAATAAACCTAACAAAAAAGAATTTCACACATTGTGCTGGGACTTACTATCTCAGTGGTCCAGTACTTGCCTGGCATGCACACTCTGCACTCCAAAATCTAACACTCACCACCCTGGAAGTTCAGTCCCCAGTGTCTTGTTCACTCTCTCACACACAAAAATATTAGATATACATACTTATTTTCAAACAAAACAAATCAAAGTATCTTTTCTCATCTTTATAAACCAGCATAAAGAAAATGAGAGGGTGAGGCAAAGATTGGGAAAAGCTACATGTCTGACAGATTCCTCACATACAGAATACATTTACAACTATTGCAGGTAAATGATTTTAAAAATCCAGTATTTTAAATGATCAAAAACTTGAATAAATTATTTCTAAACAATTGAAAGATATTCAACAACATTGGTTGACAAGAAAACGGACTCAGAACCACAATGAGACCACATAACACATACCGGGTGAGTGGGAAGTAAAACTATTACAATTCTAAGTGTTGCAGGTCCCCCAAAAGAACAGAAACAAACAACACAGGTTCTTACTATATAGTTCTAGTCAGCAACCAAGATTATAGACCTGGGAGTTGGGGGTGGAGTTTCCTACTATGGTTTTGCTAATCTGACATGGTACCAAACTGCTTTCTAAATAATTATGTTTATGTCCATAGACAAAAGCTGCTATCGGCCTTGATTACTGAAGTTTCTCTTTGCAGGAAACTGGAATGAGTGCAGAGACTTATAGTTGCTCAAGGTTCTGAGAATAAGTGATAAGTGAGTGCTCAGTCCTAAACAGGACATCCATACCACCCCTCTAAGACACAGGGACATTGCGGAAGAGCGGGCAGAAAGAACATGTGAGCCACATGACTGAGAGATAGACTGCACAGCACTGTCTTTAGGGCATCCCATAGCCATCAGAATCCCGAAGTCATAGCGGTTATGGTTATCTTCAGTGGGCTTGCACAAGACGGGACAGCGGTTAGTTGTGATGGGGGAGGGGCTCCTGAGTTACCCCTCCCCGGGGGAACTATTAAGAATTGATGGGTGTTAGGGCATGAGAGTCACTGTCTTCGGTTATACGCCCATTGGTGAGCCCACCAGGTCCCAATGGATAGCTCTGCATCCATGGTGGTAGAGACTACCTTGGCCAAACTCAGTGGCCAAAGCAAAGCAAAGGGCCATGAATGTGGAAAAGGGACTTGTGGTGGGAGGAAGGGCGACGGGTGGCGGGGAGATGAGAGAGAGCAGAGGAAGGAGAGAAGTGGAATGCATTATATACACGCATGGAACTGTCGAAGGACAAGTCTTATTAATGAAACCGTAGTTCTTATTATTCTAAAATAATGCAGTATAGTTATTTAAAATGTATGACTTGGTTATAGTGTGATCGTTATTCTTATCCTTCAATATCTATGGAAGATAAACACAAGTTCAAAGCCAGCTTGCAATTTTATGCAGATTCTTGGTGGAGATATTTTCAGTGCCCCCTTTGGCCACCTCAGTCACAGTGCAACGCCCTGAACAAGCATAAATGAACAGACGAAGTGCATTGTGACACTGAGCTAAGTACTCTGTCTTCTTCCCTTTAAATAGCAAGCAGCATTGCTCTTATCTCATGCACAGTGGTCCTGTGACCCCATTCCACCACTCAGGGATTCCCCTGAAGCATCCCTCAGAGATTCTGCATCTCAGTTTGTACCTCAGATGTCCCCAATAAAGATAGCTTACCTGAAAAGGAACATGGCTGTTAGACCTTAAAAATTTTTTTAAATCTACATAAACACTGAAGTATCATCATCCTCCTCATCGTTGACTTGTGTGCTCCAGGACTGAGAACTTATATCTCACAGTGTTTTAGGTCCCTTCTACATCACTGGCTACCTAGACAATCTCATAGAGTTCATGGCTTTGATGCCATCATTTCCAAAGCCTCCCAAAGCACAAATGTAGTATCTTCACAAACTCACACACAGCTTCTAAACCTAATCTATAATCTTCTACCTAAACCAGGTGTCTCCAGTTTCTTGTCTGACTGTTGTACTTGTGTGGAAGAAGTTGCTAGCACCAGAAACCTGTCATCCTTGGCACCGTCCTGATTCTCAAGTACTTACATTATTTTAATCCAGTTATTTATAACTGATCTAAACCTGGACCAATCTCAAGTTCAGGTTCTTGTTGGACCTGTTACTTATTACTAGGGTGTTTAGAAAAGGTAAAAATCATAAGCACCCCTTTCACAAATGTGCCACTAGGTGGGATGTTACAACTGGTGGGAAGTCTTCAACCTGGTTCTGTCATGTACAGTCATTGTTTGCAAGTACAAAAGGTGTCTCATGATCAGTACCATTTGTGAGTGTGTGAGTCTTCAGAAGGCACTAGGAGTTAAAACAGTGCTGTGAAGCAGGAGGACTCAGTTCATCTGGGCTCAGCTCCTCCGTGAAGTTTCAAAGCAGACGGTTCTAGGCGTGAATATATCACTCCCAGAAGTAAGAGGCCTCTGGCTCCTTACTCCTCTCAGAACTCTATTCACGTAATCCCAGAAGTGTTTGCAATGTACCAGAGCCAACTCATTAATTTGAAATTCACTTATGGTACCAATGAAACCCTCTAGCTGACATTTTTTATGCCAATCAACAAACTAGTGAATATTTGTCGCTGACATCTGAAGCCATTTGTTGGAGCAGTTTCATCTAATGAGTGTATTATGACCATGAAGTTACCGTCTCTAATGTAAAGATGACGAAGATTGACACGTATTAGCATGTAGTTATATATATAATACCTACACATATCTATAGCTACATGTATTTACATGTCACATTTTATATTCTTTTAAGGTCTATCCTTTCTCTACATGTTCCAGACTCACCTTCCTGCCCATTCACTTCTTCTCTAACCATGCATAGATGATGTGTGGCTGTCACCAGTGTTATCATCAGGGACCCAGATGGCTCTCCCGAGTGGTCTGTCTGTGTCTTAGTTCTCTGCCATTCTATTTATGTTCCTTTAGTTGCCAGGACATTTGGTCCTCTGTACATGTGCATGCCTGTCCTTCCTGGTCTTACTGGACTCCATGCATGATTAAGGTCACAGCTTAAACACCTTAAAGAAATATTACATCTGAGCCTTTGAACTAGGACCCAGTGTTTAAGGAAACATGCCTGGCTTCTTCTCACCTCACACCATGTGGCTTCCTAATAGAGCCTTCCCTTGAACAAAGTCATCAATGTTAAACTGCCAAATGTTTATTTCCATACTCGGGCCTTATCATTACAAGGACAAGGCTTATGTCCTGTCTCCATTACTTTGTCTGCCCAAGACCCAATGTTCAGTATCTGCTACATGCCTGAGTGAATTATGGCTGTTTAATGTCTGAGGAGCCTCAGCCACATGCATGCATTTTGTTTCCTATTGCAAAAAGAACTCGGTTTCTAGTTGTATCTGCTGGGATAGACATTTAAATGTTATTCTTAGCAAATGACATGACAGCTTGATTACCCAAACTGAATACACAGGGAAGATATATGTTTTATGTCCCCTTTGAAACTTAAATCCTAAACCCTCCTTATCTGATGGCTCCTAAGAGCCTTTGGAAAGTAAAAACAACATTCAGGACAAGAATGAAGACAGAAAATTGCTGCAAACCATGACTAGAAAGGATTTCCTTGGCCCTCTCTTCAGGGTCTTTTAAGGAAAGT